TTTTTCACTGAAGGTTTGGCTATATCGAAGAGTTTTACGGTACCATCACGCGAACCAGAAGCCAAAATGTGTTCTCTTGGGTGAAATTCCAAAAAGGCCACCTCATCTGTGTGATCATAAAGTGTACGAATAACTGGGTGACCTTGTTGTTCGCGTCCTGGTTCAATATCTTCTGGTGCCGATTTAGCCAACATACGGTCAACGTCTAAAATTTTTATACTAGCATCTACACTACCAGTGGCAACCAATGTACCATCGTGGCTAAATGCACCCGCACGACATGATTGCTTGTGCGATGTGACATAAGCAGTTTCATAAGAAGCTGGCTCAGGTGCTAGCGCAGACGCTTCAGGTTCGAACTCCAAATCAATGCCAGGCAGCACGTCGTCCTTAGGAGCTATAGGTTTTTCCGTTGTAGCCTGCATGCCAGCGATCATAACATGTAACAAGCGTTCGCTCGGAGCACATTCATCTGCTTTCACGAGCATAGAGAGTTCCATTGCAAATTTTTCCAGGCCATCGTACATCAATTGACTAAAAGCAGAAGTGAAGTTGCCTTTGATTATGTTTTATGCCATTAACTAACCTTATAATAAGTCTATATAGGATTTCACGATTCTTCACAAGATTTCTGGGATCCAAAATTTCAATATCGCGCATTTTCGTTATTAATTTTTGTTCAAAAACTTAAGTTTATAAATTTATAAACACGAGTATAAATTGTTTGGCTAGAAAACAGCTGTTGAAATGACGCCGCTGCAACAACAACACCAACGCAGGCAACAAAAAAATTGTTTGTCGTTCACAATAGCTGATGAAATGGTGCAGTCAAAAGAGGCAATGCAAATACTTTGACAAAGTGTTTTGCTGTCAATTTGAGAAAATGAAATTCCACTTTCCTGTGTGAACAAATAAAATTACGGCATACATATTTAATGTACCTTGGTTTGGTCAATTTTCAGAAATAAGTATTGAAAATGGCCAGGGTGCCAAATAACAAATTTTCTCTTACATTGCTTTATGAGAAAATATGCTGATATAGGGCGTTTTTGAATCGGCAGCTGAGATAGGGCGTTTTTGAAACGAATTCTGAAATAGGGCGTTCTTGAAAAGTTTTTTTTTGATATAGAGCGTTTTCGAACTGGCTGCCGAGATAGGTCGATCTTCCACTCAGCCATCGAAACTTTTGGAATTTACTTGAGTTACCAAATCTGCCTAGACTTTAACCAAGGCAAAATTTAGCGCAGCTCAAACTGCAAATTAAACACACAAAATCGTTTGAAATTTGTTTAGATTCATTTTCACCCGACTTTGTAAACAAAAAATGGAAAATTTAAAGTACTTTTTCTCGTAAACATCACTTCCTTATTAAAACGCAGCAAATGCAACGTTGATTTGATTACTAAATTGTCAAACTACTGTGAATTTCCCTTTCTTTATGTTTACATGTTGCTGTCAAAAAAAGCAAAGATCTCTGAAAAAGTAAACACGTGCATTTGGTTATTATATTTAATCAATTTCTTATTTTAATCACTCAATTTTAATAGCAATTGGTTTTTTAAGACAACATAACCATGAAGATCCGGAAAATTCACCAGCGCAAGCGTTTTAGGTACAGTGTCAATAGGAAGACGAAGAGGAAAACACGGGAAGCCACAGGGAAAATAAAGGAGTAAGAATTGGACAATTACTTTAATTAATTTATTTATTAATATATGCCATTCATTTATAATTTTGCAGTCCTGAAATGAAAAAACTATGGATAGAGACTAAACGCAACAAAAACTTCTATGAAATGGGCCTGTCTTCTGATCCCAATAAAGCAGTACCAATTCCAAATTTTAAACAAAATCGTCTAAAGGCAGTGAAAATAATAAACGGGTTTGTGGAAGAGGAAATGGATGAGGAGGAACTAAATGAAAAAGTAACAGATCTCCCAAGAGGCTATGTCATCGAGCAGTTGGAAGCAGATGCTAATGCGCCAAGAGAAAAACTGTTAAGGTAAACAAAGTTTTATATATCGCTGAAAACTGTGTTGAAGTGAAGTTATTTAATATTATGTATACTTAGGTTACCTAAAAATTCCGTGGATCATTTGAGTTATTTCCTGGATAAGTATAAATTTAACTACAAGGCAATGGTAACAGATAGACGAAATTATCTGCAGTGGACATGGAAACAGTTCCGTATGAAAATTCGAAAGTTCATGTCGATTCCTGAACAATTTAACGCATACTTAAAGCAACGCAATTTGAAACTAGGCGAAAAACCTTCGTGGGAAGAATACGATTCAGACAGTGAATGGAAATGATTATAAAAGCCAGATATTGATAATAATGTAGCTTAATAAGGGTTAGTTTTAAATAAATTTTATAGTAACTCAAAAATGTATTTTGGCATGCAAGTTTAACTTAAAGACCGTTACAAACTGCACATATTATAACTTTCTAAATTATTCATATGTAGTACATATTAAGATTCCTATAATTGATTTCTACTTCTTTGCTAACTTACCCCTTTACGTTATATGTCTGTGTACAAATGAGAGTGCATTGCAAAAGTAACATCTCTTTTTTGCATGTACTTAGGAAATTTACATATTTTTAGCCACAAATGTGACAATTTGTATCCATGCCGCTCACTCCCCAAACACTAGTCTTCAAACCCAATCCGTACACTCTCCTGTGGAATACACAAAATACGGGCCGTGAGATGAACACGTCGATAATCCAATGTTGTAGGTAAAAGAAAGATCTTGTTCCCGCTTGCACTAGTAAAGTGAATGCACAACACGTTAGCTAGTGCACTCGCTCGTTGCATGTTGCCCATCGACTGTGATTTATTGACATGCACACAAACGTATGCCAAGTGCGCCAATGCATCCATCTAACATACCCCATTCGAATGAGGATGACGTTGGGCTAAGAAATGTCGGCGGTAAGGGTACGCGCACCACATACATACCAATTTAACCAAATGTACTGCCCGCTTGTGATGATGGTGGTGATGATGTTGGCAATGGTAGTGGTGGCACTATTCCAGCGCATGTGCATCAGGGCCGTTGTGAAAATCGGCCTTTCCGACTTTTGTGCTCGAGGTAAGTGGCAGGTATTTTTTAACGATTTATATAAATCTGAAAATTACCACAAAAATCCTCAACATCATTCCGTAAATTGTGTTAAAAATTAACTAGCTAACGCTGGGTAAGTGCAAGATAATAATATTTTTCTTCATTTGTGCAAGTTAATTGTGAAAAATAGTGTTTAAAAAGTGCATACGTTAAAATGTGTATACCTTTGCCATTAGAAAAAGTGGTCTGGGCAAAATGAAAAAGGGTTAATATAAAGCCGGCCGGTTATAATATTAAAAAAAAATCTTTAATTAAAAAAAAATTCACATAATAGTTAACTCCAATGAAGCCAAAACGTTTATGTTAAGAAACTTAAGCACAAAAGTGTTGGCATTTGCTCGAGAAAAGCTAATGCAACCACGCAAGCTTATGCAGTTTCCGTTAAATTTCTTAATACGTTACTTATCTAACGCAGGAAATGTCGTCGGATGTAAAAAAAAAACAGTGGCACCTAACTGGCTTGTACAAAAAATTCAACAGCCAACAAGTTT